GGATGGGGACTTTCCAGGTGGCCTGCAAAGTATCACCTGGGCACATAGTTAACACTTACTTCAATTTGTCGAATGCCTCTCTGCTGGGCAGTTTATGTATTTATCTCTGTTAATTCTCCTGATTACCCGCAAGGGCATGCTTGTCCCCATTTCACAGCAGAGGACACGAGGTAAGGCCAAGCGATGGTGAGCAGCAGAGCCAACATTCACACCCAGGTCTTCCTGGCTCTGAAGCCCGTGCTCCCGAGCATGCTGTGTGGCGCCCCCATGCAGCCTTTCAGGAGTGAGCTCCCTGAGAAGAGGTCTGGGCACTTTTTGTCTTTCTATTTATGTCTATGCCACACTCCCTAACAAACTATGCTATCAACTTCTCCAGGGGACTGAAGCGTATTCACTGTTTCCTGTAGCATCTGTGTTGCTCATAGGTGCACAATGCATGTGCGTTGCATCACTGGATGGCTGCTTAGACACGTGGCTCCTTGTTTGTTGCCACTCATGTACTCAGCATTCAAATGAAATATTTCAGCCATGCCACAAATGCTTGCCAGCAGGCTAGGAACACCTTTCCTATGGCAGATAGCAATGGGCATCTGTGCAGTCTAATTGCAGTAGGCCAAGTTAGCTACATCGTATACAATTTTTAACTTATCTTTTTTTTTTTTTTTTTTTTTTTGAGACGGAGTTTCGCTCTTGTTACCCAGGCTGGAGTGCAATGGCGCGATCTCGGCTCACCGCAACCTCCGCCTCCCGGGTTCAGGCAATTCTCCTGCCTCAGCCTCCTGAGTAGCTGGGATTACAGGCACGTGCCACCATGCCCAGCTAATTTTTTGTATTTTTAGTAGAGACGGGGTTTCACCATGTTGACCAGGATGGTCTCGATCTCTCGACCTCGTGATCCACCCGCCTCGGCCTCCCAAAGTGCTGGGATTACAGGCTTGAGCCACCGCGTCTGGCCCTAACTTATCTTTAAGCCAATTTTTTCCTCATGTCCTAACCTAACGTCTCTCCAGTCCTGGATCTCTAGGCCCAGGCCACTGGCTTGACTTGCCTTAGCCAGAGATCTTTCTTTGGTGAGTGACAAAATCCCAACTCAAACAACTTGCATAAACTGGAGAGCTACTGGCTTTCACAACTGGGAATGACTTGGGAGGCTTGGAGAACTGAAGGAGGGGCTCCTGAGTCCAGGGACCTGGGGATGGAATGAGGGCCCCTACCCGGCAGGGCCTTCTCTCCTCTCCACTTGCCAGGTTTTATTTTGCAGACAGCTGAGCACAGGAGGCAGGAAAGAGAGTCATCTGCAACCCAGAACCTGCCTCTTGAATCTTATGATCCCAGAGGAAAGGAGAGCAACTCTCCTCCCACTTTGATTTGGGAAATTTGGGGGAAAGGCTCCAGTTGGCCTAATGTTGGATGCCCACCTCTTGGACCAATTCATTCACCGTCAATCATTCAACAAATATGAACAAATATGGTACTGGGCCTAGCCTCATGGAGTTCATAATCACTGGGGAGACAAACATAACTCAAGTAGCCAGCCAGTGCGAAACTGCACTGTGGCATGTGCTTTGCAAAGGAGAGTGATGATACTTTGAGAGTGTACGTGGAGGATTTGAACTTGGAAGGTGGGGAAAGCTTCCCTAAGAAAATGATGTTTGCACTGAGACAAAAAGGATGAGTTACGTAGGTGGAGGGTTAGGGAAACGGCATGGGATGGAAAAACCGCTATGCACAAAGCAGCATGTTAACACCAGAAACTGGGGCTGCAAGCATGGCTAGTAGCTAAACAGCAGTGAGCAGGAAGACAGTCCATGGGGCTTGTGGGCCACATTAAGAAATGTTGTCTTTATCCTAAGGCCATAGGAAGCCAAGAGCAAAATTGGGGGTGTAAGGTGACACAATCCTATTTGTCCTTTGAAAGAATGACTCCAGCTGCACGGAGGTGGCCCAGAGCGAAAGTGAGAACAGCAGTTAGGAGGACACCCAGTTGTTCAGGAGTTAAATGATAACAGCTGGGACTTGAGTGATTGAGGAGATGGACGGGAAAGAGATCCAGGAGGCAACATTGGCAGATCGGGGAGCTTCGATGAGGCAGGTAAGGGAGAGGTTGCTGTCCAGGATAACCTCCAGCTTTCTAGCTTACTCAGCCATGTCCAAAGGGATGCGGGATTAAGTTTGGCCCTGGCTGGGTCCCATTCTCGCCCCTATGGACAGGATCAGGCACTGCGGCTCATCAAACTCACTGGATTTGCCTACAGTTCGGGAGAGATTTCCGGAAGAGAAGTGGTACTGTTACCAGGAAAAGAGGGATGGGAAACCCAACTGAAGAGACCCCAGCTGTAGCTACCACAGCCACTGCAGGGATAACACAGAGTGGCCGGTCTCTGGCCGCCCGGGGATACTAGCAGTATGTGCTACATTGATATTTGCCATTAAACATCAGTTCACCTATGCCATAGGGCAAGACACTGAGGGTCACAATCCGGCTGCTTCAGGAGCCCCCGGGGGAGGTTTCCTGCTGTGAAGTTCACTGTCGTAAGCACTCACCGGAAGGGGCACTGTTACTCTTCTCAGCCACTTTCCTGGCCCCTGAGGTGGCCGACCAGGTGGCATCTTAGCCCCAGCTTGAATCGGGGGTTAAAAGGGCAGAGGAATTAGTTCCAGTGGTCTCAGCCAGCCTTGGAAGTGGCAGGAGGAGCTACAGTCATACTGCACGGGAACTAGTTTTGCATAAAGACCCACAAAGACACACACTTAGGCACTCGTTGGCATTTTTAAAATCTTTCCCCATCATGATATGGAGACCTAAGAAGAAAAAATGGTCTTTGTTTATCTTAGGAATTTCTGTCAGTGGTACCTAGAGGCCACTGGCAAATATCTTTGAATTATAAACCAAAATGATAGCCAGGGAGGAAGTTAGAATAGTAAGAACTGGTCTTTCAAGGTGCCCTAAGGTAGTCAGCCAAACCGGCTGTATTAATGACAAAGTAACAGAAGCCAAATTGCCCAGGATGTTTGTCTAAGAAAATGATAGTGCCAGTTTTCACATATCCAGTGACGGATACAGACTTGTGAGGGTTTGCTGAGTTCTTGTAAAGGGGCGGGGGGCTGCAGGCTTTGTCTTGGAGAGGATGTGCACAAAGTCAAATGCTCTATCTGGCAGGTGGACTTCTATCCTTGCTTTATTTTTTTTTTCTTTCCCCCCCAAAATACTGTTTAAGGGCTGGGCGCAGTGGCTCACGCCTGTAATTGCAGCACTTTGGGAGGCCAAGGTTGGGAGGATCATGAGGTCAGGAGTTCAAGACCAGCCTGGCCAACATGATGAAACCCCGTCTCTACTAAAGATATAAATATTAGCCGGGCATGGTTGTGGATGCTTGTAATCTCAGCTACTTGGGAGGCTGAGACAGGAGAATCACTTGAACTTGGGAGGCAGAGGTTGCAGTGAGCTGAGATCACGCCACTTCACTCCAGCCTGGGTGACAGAGAGAGATTTTGTCTCATAAAAAGAAAAAAAAAAAATCTGTTGGAAATAGTTTGAGCAGTCACGAATAAAAAAATAAAAAGCAAACTCAGGGAAAGAAAATACACTGTCTATACAATAACAAATCAGGAAAGTCCTGGGTATCTGTCACAGAGGTAGAATGGTAGATGAAGCTGGCTGCAATTCTCTCCAAACTGGTGGAAATACTGGGGTTTTTACCTAATACTTTAGTACTAAGTAAACGGATGGCATTTCGAAGTTGGTGGTTTCTGTTCTTCCTGTGGAACAGGTCTCTGGGCCTGAGCCCACCCTCAGCGTTGGCAGCCGCCTCCAGGGCAGTGCTATCTTTGCTATGGTATCTCTACTTAGTAATAAGAACTAATGTGCATGGGAGCTTGCTGTGGGCCACGTGCTCCAAGAGCTTTGCCTAGTAGTTATTTCCATCAAATCTTCACAGCAACCTGTGAGGTAGCTCTATACTCGTCCCCAATTTTTTTGTTTTTAGTAGAGATGGGATCTCCCTATGTTGCCAGCCTGGCCTCAAATTCCTGAGCTCAAGCTATCACCCCCTCTTGGTCTCCCAAAGCACTGGGATTACATGCATGAGCCACTGCACACATCGTCATCCCCATTTTAACCCAGGTACACTGAGCCCTAGCAAAGAGCTCAGCTGGTAAGTGGTGGCACTGGGATTTGAACCTGGGCAGTCTGTTTCCAGAGTCTGCTGGCTGAGCTACTGTGCAAAACAGTGCCTTCCAAACATTCTTTTCTACCTTATTGCTCCTTGAATTTTGGCCCTGGGTCCAGTTTGGGGCCAGGCAGAAGATAGGAATAGTTGGCACGATGGTAACAGGGTATATGTGAAAGTGGGGGTTTGGGGCTGGGCGCAATGGCTCACATCTGTCATCGCAGCATTTTTGGAGGCTGAGGTGGGAGGATTGCTTGAGACCAGAAGTTCAAGACTAGTCTGGGCAACACAGCAAGATGCCGTCTTTAAAAATTAAAAAAAAGGAGCCGGATGTGGTGTGTACCTATAGTCTCAGCTACTTGGGAGACTGAGGTGTGAGGCTCTCTTGAGCCTAGAAGTCTAAATGTGCAGTAAGTCATGGTTGCACCACTGCACTCATGGAAAGAAGAAAAGAGAGAAAGAGAGAAAGAAGACAGGTACAGTGGCTCACGCCTGTAATCCCAGCACTTTGGGAGGCTGAGGCAGGGTGATCGCATGAGGTCAGGAGTTACAGACAAGCCTAGCCAACATGGTGAAACCCTGTCTCTACAAAAAATACAAAAATTAGCTGGGCATGGTGGTGGGTGCCTGTAGTCCCAACTTCTTGGGATGCATGAGTTCCAGCTTCTTGAGGCACGAGAATTGCTTGAATCCAGAAGGTAGAAGTTGCAGTGAGCCAAGATCACACCACCGCACTCCAGCCCAGGTGACACAGCAAGACTCTGTCTCAAGAAAAGGAAAGAAAGAAAGAGAGAGAGAGAGAAAGAGAGAGAGAGAAAGAGAAAGAATGCTCACTTTGGCAGCATATGTATTATACAGTAATTGGAATGTTACAAAAATTAGCATGGCTTCTGTGCAAGGATGAAACACAAATTTCAAAGCATTCCATATATTAAAAAAAAAAAAAAAAAGAAAGAACGAACGAGAAAGAGAGCAAGAGAAAAAGAGGGGGTTGAGGTGGGTGTTTTACATTTGTCCTTCAACTATGGGCGGACCATAGTGACTTTCCTGATGTCCACATAAGAGTGACTGGTTGTTGCGCCTAGTGTTGGCTGCTGCTACCAACAATTTCCCAGTACTCTGAGAGTACATACAGGCTGCTACCAAGTAAGACCAGAGGGGCAGAAACTTATTACTTACCCAATAGCTAGCATCTCTTTTTTTCCTTAGAAACGGAACATTAAGGCAGAAAGCGGTGGCTCACACCTGTAATCCCAGCACTTTGGGAGGCCAAGGAGGGTGGATCACCTGAGGTCAGGAGTTCGAGACCAGCCTGACCAACACGGTGAAATCCCATCTCTACTAAAAATACAAAATTAGCCGGGTGTGGTGGCAAATACCTTGTAATCCCAGCTACTTGGGAAGCTGAGGCAGGAGAATCGCTTGAATCCAGGAGGCGGAAGTTGCAGTGAGCTGAGATCGTGCCACTGCACTCCAGCCTGGGCAAAAAGAGCAAAACTCTGTCTCAAAAAAAAAAAAAAAAAAAAAAGAAAAGAAAAGAAAAGAAAGAAAGAAAGAAACAAAACATTAATTTTACTTAGCTGGGCAATGGGCCCAACTAAAAGACAAGATTTCCCTGCCTCCCTTACATGCAGGCATGTGACTAAGTTGTAAACACTGAGACATTAGCGGAAGTGTTTGGAGAGACTTCAGGGATTAAAGGGACCTGACTCAACCGGAGGTGAATTCTTTTGTTCCCTCCTCCTTCCTGATGCCTGAAATGCAACTTGATGGCTGACACTCAAGAGCTAGCTTGGACAGCAGAGTCTACTCTGTAGATGAACAGTGCTTCCAAAGCTTTAACGTGCCTGTGAATCCCCTATGGATCTTGTTAACACTGCAGACTGATTCAGTAGGCGCTGGATATGTTTCTTACATTTCCTAGCTCTGTTCATAAAGGGAGCGTAGGTGCAGTGCCCGCCCTAATGTATAGGAGCACACCTGACACCCAGATCTTGGCTTCTAAATGCCATATTGCACTAAAAGAAACCAGGGCTTCTTGGAAAAATGGCTAATCATGGAGCCAGAGCAGGGAAAGTATAAGAAAAGACTGGCACACCTTGTGCCATAAAGCCAGGAAGTACTCAAAAATAATGGGGACATGTCAAAAGGTCACAGAAGCCAACTTGAAAGCACTACCACTAGTCACATCAGGGACAATCTGAGAGCTAAAATTAATAATGACAGTCATTGTTTCCTGCCAATGAAAAAAGAAAAAAAAATTTAAATAATGACAGTGACAGATTTATAACTAATGGAGTAAAATAGGAAACCATGAACTCATACAGACATAAATAAATCAATGAACAAATGAAATGTTTGACGGGCAATCAGACTTTTACATAGTTTCAAAATACCTCCCTACAACATAGTAGTTATAAAGAGAAAAATAGCAACTTTTTGCTATAATATCTTTTTTTCTTTTGAGATAGAGTCTCACTCTGTCGCCCAGGCTAGAGTGCAGTGGAGCAATCTTATCTCACTGCAACCTCTGTCTCCTGGGTTCAAGTAATTCTCTACCTCAGCCTCCCAAGTAGCTGGAATTACAGGCGCCCGCCACCACACCCAGCTAATTTTTTTTTGCATTTTTAGTAGAGACGAGGTTTCACCTTGTTGGCCAGCTGGTCTTGAATTCCTGACCTCATGATCCACCCGCCTTGGCCTCCCAAAGTGCTGGGATTACAGGCGTGCGTTGCTGTGCCTGGCTAAGAGAATATCTTTGATTAAGATAACAACTTGGCCGGGAGTGGTAGGTCAAGCCTGTAATCCCAGCATTTTGGGAGGCCGAGGCGGGCAGATCACGAAGTCAAGAGATCAAGACCATCCTGGTCAACATGGTGAAACCCCATCTCTACTAAAAAGACAAAAAATTAGCTGGGCATGGTGCCGCATGCCTGTAATCCCAGCTACTCAGGAGGCTGAGGCAGGAGAATTGCCTGAACCCAGGAGGCGGAGGTTGCGGTAAGCCGAGCTCGCGACATTGCACTCTAAACTGGGTAACAAGAGCGAAACTCCGTCTCAAAAAAAAAAAAAAAAAAAAAAAAAAAATACAGCAACTTAATCAAATGCTCAAAATGAATGCCATTGGCAATGGGATAAAATAGAATCATGGGCCACCTGACATAACGTAATGAGAAGAATGCAATGTCAATTCTGTGATATTTCCACCAAAAAATGTAGCATTTCAATCTAATAATAAGGAGGTATCAGACAAACCCAGATTGAAAGATATTTTATAGAATAACCGGTCTATAATGTTCAAAAGTGTCAAGCTTGTGAAAATCAAGGACCTGAAGAACTGGTCCAACCTGAATGAGCAATTCTTACGTTTTAGGCCCGGCACTGAAATGTAACTCCCGATTTTGAACTGGATCCTTTTGCTATGGAGGACCTTATTGAAGCGATCAAGGAATTTGAGTGAGGTGTGAGGATTTGACAGTGGTGATGGTTTGCATGGGAGTATCACGGTTATGGAGAACGGCCTTGCTTCTAGGAAATAAATATGAGTTTGGGTATGATGCCTCAGATCAGCAACCCTCAAACGGTTTAGAAAACAATTTTTTATACTGTGTTTCCACCTTCTCTGTAGCTTTTGTCATTGTTTCAAATTAAAAAATTAAATTCCATTGATAAAAAAAGCTTAGCACCAAAGTGAGGCATTTTCATTCTGCTACTCTGTTGTAGGGGATTTGGAGGCTTGGATGTGGATGATTGTTCTGGTTTGTTTAAAAATGTAAAATCATTCTTTAGGACGCAGCGGACTTAAGTTTCACTTCAGACCTGACTCCCCATCTTATCCCCCAACAAATCTCAATGATGAAGGACTTTTACTTTCTGCTGAATTCGGAGTTAGTTTTTAAGAGGAGCGGTTATTTTTAAAATAAGAGCAAGGACAAAACAATGAAAACACCTTTAAAAAATATGCTGTAACTGGGTTAGCCTCTAAGGTTGTGCTGTTCATACCTCACCAACAATTAAAAATATTATTTTAAATTGTTAGAATTTAAAGCATTAATATACTTAATAATATAATAAATTACAGTATAACATATATAGTATAAGTATAATCAAATATACTTCAAATATTAATATTAAGTATAATACAACTGGGGGTGGAGGCTCATGCCTGTCATCCCAGCACTCTGGGAGGACAGGGCAGGTGGATCACTGGAGGCCAGGAGTTTGAGACCAGCCTGGCCAACAGGGTGAAACCCTGTCTCTACTAAAAATAAAAAAATTAGCTAGGCTCAGTGACCCATGTCTGTAATCCAAGCTACCGGGGAGGCTGAAGCAGGAGAATTGCTTGAACTCAGGAGGTGGAGGTTGCAGTGAGCCAAGGTCATGCCACTGCACTCCAGCCTGGGTAACAGAGTGAGACTTCTTCTCAAAAAAAAAAAAAAAAAAAAAAAAAAAATTAAGCATAATACCTCTACATTACTGAATATACCAAGGGAAGACATACATAGCATGAACCATATAAAAACTGATACATTGGATTTTATACAAATTAATACCTTCTGCTCATCAAAAGATGCCATGAAGAGAATGAATGTCAAGTTTTCTATTACCCATATAGAATGGGAGAGTCTATCCAAGACAAATGTATGTGACAAAGGACTTGTATTCAGAACATGTAAAGAAATTCTACATCTCAGCACTAAGGAGACAAAAACCCAATTAAAAATAATTGGGCAAAAGTCTTGAACAGGCACTTCATAAGAGACATGAATGGCCAATACGCAAGAAAAAAAGTGCCAGAATCCCTAGTCATCAGTAGCAGGAACCTTTAAATTAAGAGAGGCTTAAGAGATATGTTGACCAATACCAATAAGTAGAACTTACTTACCTCCTATTTCAGACAAACAACATGTAAAAAAATTACAAAAAAGCTGGAGATGTATGAACACTGACTGGATATTTTATATTAAGGTGTTCTTGGCCAGGTGCAGTGGCTCACACCTATAATCCCAGCACTTAAGGAGGCCAAGGCAGGCAGATCCCATGAGGTCAGGAGTTCAGGACTCCTGGCCAACATGGTGAAACCCCATCTCTACTAAAAATACAAAAATTAGCCGGTCATGGCAGCACAGGCCTGTAGTCCCAGCTACTTGGAAGGCTGAGGCATGAGAATCACTTGCACCTAGGAGATGGAGGTTGCAGTGAGCCGAGATCGTGCCATTGCACTCCAGCCTGGGCAACAGAGTGCAACTCTGTCTTAAAAAAGAAAAAAAAAAAGAGAGCGAGAGAAAAAGGAATTATTATTCATTTATTTTAACTGGGATGATGGTATTGTGGCAATAATTTTAAAAGAGTCTTTATCTTTTATACGTACTCTGAAATAGTTACAGATAAAATGTTATGAGGTTTAAAATGTGCTTCAGAATAATCTAGGGACATGTAGATTGGGGGAATGTAAATGAAAGAAAATGAACCAAATGCTGGGAGCTGTTGGAAGCAGGTGATAGGAACATTGGCTTTATTACATTACTTTCTATACTTGTGTACACATATTTGCAAGTTTCCAAAATAAAAAGAGAAAAGAGCAAAACAACAAAAATATTGAAAGGAGAAGAGAGAGGAAAGAGAAGGGAAAGTAGAATAAGATCACTGAGTGTTGGATTGAGTGTTAGTTAATACCATTAAAAAACTGACGGATCAGATAATAAAATGTTTAGTTAAAAAAAAAAAAAAGGGCTGGGCGTGGTGGCTCACACCTATAATCCCAGCACTTTGGAAGGCCAAGGTGGGCAGATCATGAGGTCAGGAGTTAAAGACCCGCCTGGCCAACAAGGTGAAACCCCGTCCCTGCTAAAAATGTAAAAATTAGCTGGGTGTGATGGTGGGTGCCTGCAATCCCTGGTACTTGGGAGGCTTAGGCAGAATTGCTTGAACCCA